TACAGTTAAAAGATAGATCCTACATAGATCCTACATCTAAACAATTGAATGCAATTTACAAATACATGAAATAGGATTAGTGAAATGTCTTCTATCCTAGTCCTAGAATATTAGGATATATTTTTCCCTATGGCTTTTAACCTTGTCATTCTTTTCGTACTTTCTTTTGACTGATCACTCTCTTTTCTCATTTGGAAACAGATAAGGATTTGAAATGATAAGTCTGGGCTAAAAGCAGCTCTTCAAAATGATAAGTTTGCATTTGATGTTGATCGCCTGCAAAAGTATACTGGTAATTCTGCTTGGACCTTGCGTTGCCCTGCATTGCCCTTATGCAAACTAACATGTCTATTTTCATGCATGGAAATTAGAATGGCAGGGAATTGACAATAGGATATGTCAAACTTCACCTTCAATTCAGTTCATGTTTTTATCATCAAATGAAATTTGAGACTACAGTTTGTAAAGATTATTTAAGGGTAGGTAGTTAGGTACAGAGGTGAAATGAATTTATATTGTATTGTAGAGCATGTACCAGTACATGCAATTACATACTAGTAAGTAATCAGGCTTCAAGACTGTGAACAGAACACTGAATAGTTTTGCTTGGTATATATTTGATTGCCTGCCGTGTTTGAGCATGAACCACGGGCAAATTGTAATTAGTCACATGAGAGAACAATGCCGAGTCTGATATATTTGTGGTGAATTTGCTTGCTTGGACGTGTCAAGGGTCTAGTACACGTAAGGGATTGGTCCAGTATTAGCTCGACTTGGACGTTTGGATTGTCCCTTCTTCATTTACGACGTCATTTTGTTAAAGTGCTTTTCATTTTAAGTTTCTCCTTGTCCTATCCACATTATCGTTATTCACTTCGTAACCATTTTTTATTCTGTGTGCACCTTTTTCTGCATTTGAAAGCTGTTGTAAACCACGTTAAATTTGAGCTTTTGAAGTGGTGGACTTGTCATTGGAGGTGGATCCAATTGCAAGCTCAGTTTTTCATCAGATATTTCTTACAATATGGTATTTACTTCTTGTAGTAGTTGTTTAGTCAATTTCAAGTCTTGTATGTTGCTTTTGAATGTTCTGTTTTCAATATAGTATTTACTTGTAGTTTATATTGATATGCAGGTACAGTTAACAATAGTTTGAATGTTCTGTTTTGAATGTTCTGTTTTCAATATAGTATTTACTTGTAGTGATTTCCATTTTTTAACAATAGTTTAACAATAGCATAAAACTGCAGTTACAATTAAATTTGATATTAAGTGACACTGCTAAATGCTAGTAATTTGCTTTTATACTCTCTTTGCAATTGCAGTTATATTGTTTCCGTTGGTAGCATAAAACTCACACTGTTAAATTTGAATGGAAAGTGAAAATTAATGTTTAAGTGATTATATTAAGTGTCGTGCAGATCAAATCCGCATTCTATTCTCTTCCAAAGGTTTTTATTACCTCATGTTGATCACTATTTTGTCTCTTTCTTCATGTTGGTCTTCATTTTGCTTCAAGAATGTAGATAGTAGTAGTAATCAGGAAGAAAATATTAATCATTTCTATAACGACTTACTCATTATTAGATTAAATTATTTTGTATCTGGTCTCATCCTTTTCTTTCAAATGTTTAGCATATTCCCAACTTCCTTTTATCTCCCTATATCATAGGTGTTTAGTGAGTCAAAGATTGTGAAATACAGTGTTGAAGAAAATATGGTTTCACCAGGAAAAGGAGAGGTTAGTAAATCTGCTATCATTTACTGCAGTGTGTTACTCCTCTGTCTTTTGTTTTACTCAAAGTTGAAGTACTTGCATGATCTCAAAGTGGACAATCCTAATTCATCGGTGTTATGCAGATACTAATTGACAATAAGCAACACTACAAATTTCTGCGTAAAATGTTTCCTGCCACGTCATGCTTATATTGACTGTTTTATTTCACTACTGCAATTGGTTATGCTTCCTTGATGCCGCACATTCACCATCATGGAGTTTGAGTGGAGGTAAGGTTCCAGCTTTCAATTTCTTATTCTTTATGATATGTAACTCACAAACTTTGTTTAGTTTTATTATAATGATACTTTTTCATTGTCTTTGTAAGCTTAATACACAACTTGAGAAACTCTAACTGGTACTATATATGCTTGATACACAACTTAAAAAACTCTAACTTGTACAAGTTATGCTTTTACTATATTGTCTAAATATCATAGAGAAATGTTTGTTTTTATGCATTTTATTTATTTACTCGTTTATTATGTTAATTATCATTAGTGGTTTATTATTTATGATGCCTTATTGTTTATGATGCGTCTTTCTCAGGATGCACACTAGTCCTTGAAGCAACTTTGACACCATTCGGATGCAATCATGTGTTATATGAAAAGAACTGTAATCACTATTCTCTTCAAACTTTTTATTCTTTAAACTTTCCATTGAAAATATGCAATGTAATTTGTCTTTCTTTTAGCAAAATAATCTCTCCATTGAGTAATCTACTTTCTTTTATGAATATTATTGCAGGCATCTCCAATATTCACCTTTGCAATCTCAAGCTAGACTATGTTATGCTGGATTTATTTTATATTAATGATAGAACTATAACACTGTTATTATTATTTAAATTTTAGTAATTATGTTTAGTTTATTGGATTTATGTTGGAATTTAGTACTTAGTAATTTAGATTTGAGTTGGAATTAAATTGTAGGTCAAAATGTGTTATTGGACTCAATATAAAAACCAACCTAATAACCCGGTTAAACCGTGTGTATTAACCCGCAACCCGTGCTTACCCAGCCCGTCCAAACCGATTGCGGAAATGGACGGAAATGGACTTACGTATCTAAACCGCGGGTTGAGCTGGGTGTAGCTTTTGAGTCCGAAACCGCCCAACCCGACCCGTTGTCCAGCCCTATTCAGGTGTAAGAATTGGGATGGTGCGATAACTTATGTCATGAATACTTAATAAAAGGACGAAGTCCAATCACATAAGATTTTGATTTTGTGTTGATAGAAATTTTTAACTAGGGATCACATTGCATTTTATTGGATATAATCAAATATAACAAGTAAAATGATCAACACGCATTAATAGTAACCAAGACCATCAATAGATAAAACATATGAAGTCCATACATTAAAAAATATATATATTTCTAATGGATGAGAAAATTTGAGTGGATTTTAAGTTTGCGACTCTTACTTACAATTACAATTTGTGACTAAACAAAAATATTTTAAATTAACAATTAATACCCGTATAGAAGGAAAAAAAAAATCAACTTCGCTCACAACTTCTTCGTGATCGGAAATGGAGACTGTGAAGGTGGTGACGGTGAAGCCAATCGAAGCAACTCCGTCTACCTTCCAAGATTACGGCCAGGTCATCGAGCCTTCACCGGACGGCGATGGGTTTGGTCCCCATGACGCTCAACTTGATCTCAGCAAAGGAATTCCCAGGTTTTCAATCAATCTTCAATTTTTATCAACATATCTATGTTTTCCAGTGGTTTTTCAAATACCCTTTTGTCTCTTGTCAATTCCCTTTGTATCTTTCTGAATTCTATTTGCTAATTTTGAGATTTTAGAATTTCTATGTTTTTGGAACTTGGAATTTATTGAGGTTCCTTTGTATCTTTCTATACGCAACTGTTTATGTACTGTTTGTGGAAAGTACTAATGCTTAATCCTTAAGAAGACATATTATAGTAAGAATGAAGAATCTGCACATGATTTCAACTAGCAGAATCTATATAGTCACAAGAAACATGAAACTTTATAATTCAGATTGACATTGAGGTACATATGCTGCAACCTATGTTCAAACTTATCGGATTTAATGTGTGTTTGTTAGGTTTTACATTATGCATCTTGAAAATCGGCCACTTAAGTTTTCGAATATCACACATCATGCAAGTGTGACTCAATGCCTTGGGTCCATTGGTGGTAACGTTTGGTTTCTTGGCGTGGCCAAGCCATCCATTGTTGATTCAAATGAAATCAAGGACAGCGAAGGTAAGAAAATCGTGCAATCATGCAGTGGTCATTCTTATGTGCCTCCTGCCGTTGAGGATGTTCAAGTTTTTAAGGTTTCAGGTTCTAAATTTCTTAAGCTTAATCGAGGTACATGGCATGCCGGTCCTCTATTTGAGTCTGATGCAATGGACTTTTACAATCTGGAATTGAGCAATACAAATGTAAGTTTTTCATATTCCCTTTCAATGGAGTGTTTGTTACATGCACTTGAATTCGTTTGTAATACTTATTATAAACACTCTTTATAATAGTACATATGAATTATATTTATCTTTCTGTTTTGTGGTTAATATATGGCTTTTTGTTCCATGTACAGGTAGTTGATCATACCACACATAGCTTTGAGAATGACAATGGAGTGGTTTTTTCAATTGATGAGTAATCTGAGAGCTTCTTGTAATTTTCAGCAATGTGTACCAATAAATTAGACACTATATACTAATACAAAAATTACTGGAGATTTAAGCATATGTTTCGTTTAATTTAGTGCCACCAGTCCAAATTTCCATTTGTTGTTTTCATGTGAGTGTTGCCATTTAAGCAGATGTATATTACTGTGTTAAGGGTATTTTCAAAATTTGTTGCGATAATTGGCCATTAATAAACCAAAGTCATAGGAATGGAGATTTCCATTTATATCATTTCAAAGAATTGAAGATATGAAAGAAAAAAACTAAATGATCTGATGCCATTCAAACGTCTTAGGTGTCAGTAGCATTCATTCAGTCTAGTACTTCAAAACAAAAGATTGATAAGCAAAATCTTTAGAAACAGGTAGCACTTAACAAAATTGTGAAACTATCATTTACAAATCATAAAATCAATAAATTACACAAGGATTTTGTTTAATGACATGAATTTGCTCTATCATTGAAGAAAAAAAAAGGTGCTATAATTAAATTATTAGAGTCTTCTGTTGAAATTGCTGTTGTATCAGTAGAATCTCAACTGTGAATGTCACTACTCAGCTCCCATCATCTGCATAATAAGAATAACATTGTATCTTAATTAATCACAATCACAAGTTTTTTGTATAACAAGAAGTAAACTATTGAAAAATATGAATAGTCTTCTTACCTTGAATATATCTCCAAACATCCCCATGGGGTTCCTTCTCTGTACGCCGTAAAACTTCTCCGCAATATCGTCTAGCAACTAAATCACAGTTTACATGTCAAATACAAAATAATCATAAGATAATTATAACACAAGATCGTCACAATTTTGTTGTTCGAAATCGAATTGTAAGTTAGCTAACCTCATTGAAGGCAGGTTCCCTCTCGATACATGCTTTGAAGTTTGCTCTCAACATATTAAAAAGAGGAAAAGCATCTCTTTCCATCGTTTGCAAAAGAAAATTGATGAATTGCATCAAGTCTGTCTTTGGAAACTCAACCTCGGAAGCTTGAGTTTGCTTCTTTATCTCATCCACTAGTATGTTTGCATCCTTCAAATTACCTAAAGATAAATACCTATCATGCAAGAAATTTGCAATTGCTCAGTTCGAAACATTGTTGAAATAAGCATGGAATTAATTACATGTCCAAGATATCAACTAAACATGCATGGAATTAGGCTCTCAAATGCTTCTACGATTTTACCTTAACACAGCCCGAGCAATGGCCAAATCATCTTCACCGGGATAACACTACAATATTTGACAAGCATATTAGCGAACCTTCCTCAAACTATGCCAAAATAGAAAATGAATGCAGAATGTTGAACCGAGTTTTAGCATAAAAAATAAGATCAAACTTTTTTGGTATGCATCGACAGAATTTTGCAAAGTTGAGCCAAATAACAAGGAATAAGAAAGTTAAGAGGCTGACCCTGCCCAAAAAGCTCACTAAATTAGTAGCGAACTTGATCGGATCATTTCCTCTCACAAAATGATATGTCACTCTAGTCATATCCTGCATGTCAAAAGCACATTGTCATGTATTTATACAAACAAAGGTCAAATAGTTTCATAGTTAAGTGAAGCTTTTCAAGAGAAGCAACAATGAAGTTTCCATTCCCTATAACCGATATTATGATACATACCACCTCTGGACTTTCAGAAAATATGTACTCAGCCAGAAGTATGTGCAGTTCTGGAGCTCCACTACTATTTGTTCCAAATTCAGCAGACCACCTGAATAAAATAGCAGCAAAGTCAGAAATATTGCTCCGATGAACAAATGAATAAATATGCTTTTAGATTCCTTGACTATTGTTTAATAACATACTTCTCTAAACTTAAATATATACGATTCTTGTATACAATGCAAGTCTTTGATATATATGATTTATTTTTCCTATCTATCTGATACAACTTCTGCTTTATTATTCATATACTTAGTCATATAAAGCAAAGTTTAATCTATAATAACATTTTAAATTTTGAGTAGTCTCACTTGATAGCAGCTTTTAAGAATGAGGAACAGCCCTCAACACGCATCTTTGCACTTCCAAGATTTTCCGAAAGTTGCTGCATGTCATCGACATCCCACAGGTGTTGTGGCAGTGGAACCCGTGGAAATCCCTCGTATATTTTTCTGAGACGTTCTGCCGTTGAAAATTGTTTGTAATTAGTAACAAGAATGGATGTTGTGGCTAACTACTAAATACGAAGAATGAATGCTTATGCAAACACATGTTAGTCACCAGATTAAAAATTCTCATGAAATTGAGTGAGAAGATCTTATAATAAAAGCAAGTGTTCCAAATTGACCAAATGATAAATGGAAAATAAGTACATTGCATCATAAATTGCCGATGAAAAAATTGAAGGGTTAAAGACAAGATAAGAACTCACCAAGAGTTTCGTCATCATAAGGAATTTTCCCTTTCCCTAAAGTCTCCACAAACAACAAAGCAAGCTCTGCTCCACAGGTAACCTAAGACAACAAGAAGACAACATATAACAAAAATAGTGAGACAATATGATTTTTTTGAAAAAGTAAAGCCAAAGACACGAGAAAATTACAAATTGTGAGCAGTCCTATTTCGACGTGTTCCATTATCAAATCAAACTTAGTTAAGTGGGCGAGAAAACACATCAGTATCAGTATGCATGTTCAGGTTATTAAATGTCACCCAATTGATAAGAGATTCCATGCATATAAATCATAGTACTAATCACACAATTCAGGACAGATCATCTCAAGTAAAAGAAAGGATACCTTAGCACTAACGAGGCTCATAGACATGCCACTTAAATAAAACAAGGTCAATCCCTTCGTCATTCTAACAAATTTATGCATTAGACAGTTGCGCTATGAATCAAACTATTAGTTACAAATGCGAATCAAGAACCCGTCAATGGAAGTAGCTATAGCTACATTGGAGTGTAATGTTATTGGCTTATGGCCAATCAGTTTACATCCAACCATCAACATCTCTGTGATTTTTTTTAGGTCTGGGAGGTCAAATTCATTCAAACATATTGAACAACAACAATGACCCCTCACCTCCCACCCATAGAGCTTAAGTTAATAGAACTTCCACATGCATCCTATACATATAAAGGAGTATAGGAAATAATGTATACATTCATGAGTTATTTTCAGATCATATTAAAAAACTCTATAATAGCCAATAAAGAAATACTCTATGGAACTCCTTGTGACGGCTTATTGAATAACTCTTTCTTTGGATTGATGAAATCCGATGGAGCGGAGCAGTATGAGATGGAATGAAGCCAAAATCCCGCCATACCGGCCGCTTTGTGGCGCCATTATAGCGGATTAAGGCGATAAAATCCGCAATATAGGCCGATATTTATCATTGTGGAGAGCCCAAAAACCGCCATAACGGCCATGGTGCCGCAATTTGATAACACTAATATCTATGCATGGAATCTCTTATCAATTGGGTGACACTTAATAACCTGAACATGCATTCTGATATGTTTTCTCGCCCACTTTATTAAGGTTTGAATTGATAATGGAACACATCGGAATAGGACTGCTCACAATTTGTTATTTTCTCCTGTCTTTGACTTTACTTTGATGTTTGTCAACCACTGAAAGAATTTTCATATATTCTTATCATAAAGATGAATATTTAACCAATAATGTGTTTTAAAACTAAATGCAAATTCCTGATCCTTTTTCTCTTGATGACTTTTTCATTCATTTATTTTTCCTAACTAGCAGGTAGCTTTTAGCAACCTAAGCTTTCAAGTATATAAAAAAATGTCGCGAATAGCTTTGTTCACCCAAATCACAAGGCTAATAATAATGAAAAACCTAGTAGTTTCTCCTACACGGCTAATAAGATGATCGAAATATATCTTGAAAGACAACAAAATAAAAAACATAGAACAACCTGTCCATGAGCCAATTGAAGGCATGCTCCTGAATGTAGGATATCCAATGCTTCAGAGTACCTCTCAGCAGTTACATATCTGCAGCAAAACATGTACGCACATCAATCTCTTCTTTCTCAATTACTTGACAAAGAAAATAACATTGGAAAACATAATCACTACCAATTTCAAAATTATAACATTGAAGATAAACAATATACATGCATAACAATGATAACATAAGCTTGAAATTGTTTGAACCTGGCACTGATGGATTTATACATCTGTTGAGCTCCATAATAATTCCCATCTTTTACAACTTTCTCCAATTTATCAACATTCTGCAACTCAAACACCATAATTCATCAAAAATCACACAAAAACAATTATCAAAACACGTTAATTTGCGGCGAAAACAAAAATAAAATATTAAATTTTATTTCAGAGTATCGATAAGAAAGAACAAAATTGATGGATCGGAGATTTTGGTTACCTCTTGACCGGGAGGAAGTTCAAATCTTTTGGATCTCTGCCGCGACATGAAGATGAAGTTTCTGCGTTTGATTTTGAGATTGAGCGAAAAAAAGAAAAATAAATAAATAAAATCCTATTTATAGAAAGACATGTAATAGAATATTCAATTTCTTCAGGGACTAAATTGTAAAAACAGAAACTTTCAACCCATAAAACAAACTTTTCTCGAGTTTTGAGATTGGGTTTTGTAAAATTGAAGGAAGATGAGTTGTTGCAAAGTGTTACTCAGAGGAACACCATTGTTATCATTAACATTATCGAAATCGAACTCGAACATCCAACACAAGTTGTTACAGTTTCGTAGGTTGTCTTCAAAAACAAACTGTTCCTCTCTTGAACCTCCAAATGTGTCTCATTTGGCAAAAACTGCTCATATCTCTCTTACCCCAACTGAGGTAATTCCCTTTTTTCTTTCAAAGTATAACTTTTTTTGGTTGAATTTCAAATGTTAATAGTAATTTATCTTGTTTTAGGTTGAAGAATTTGGTCCTAAGATTCAGCAGGTTATAGGCTGGTAATTGAATCGAAAACCCTTTATTGGTTATTTGATTGATATTATGAACGGGTGTCGCGCCACTGATTACTGTCTCGCTTGTGAATTAACCACAATTTGTCGTGGCCGTTTTCACGGTGGCAGTTTTTTAAAACCCTCATTATGAAGCTTAACATTGAGTTTCTAAGGAACCAAAACTTGACTTGTATGGCAGGTTTGGACAGTTGCAGGGTGTTGATCTTGAAAGCATTGAGCCCTCAATTAGAGCAGGTGCTATCATAAATTCATAATCAATATCTTAACTTCAATTTTTGCATGTTTACATGAAAAAGCATCGCTTATTGTTTTGCTTATCTGTAGATACTGAAAACAATTTGCGTGACAATACTCCTGAAACATTTGATCAACGGTGAGTTGTTTATTTGTTATCGCTAAATTGGGCGTATTGGATATGAAGTAATAGGGACTGATAGATTGGTGTATTCTTCGCAGGGATGCCATCATTGCTTCGCTTCCGAGCTACGAGGAGCCTTACATTAAAGTTCCAAAGGTCCTTAGCGTGGACTGAATTTTCTTAGATGAGTTATTTTGCTGAAAAGGAAACTCATGAAGACTGTTGATTTGTAGTTTGAATTTCTTGGTTCTTTACGTGAACAGCTCTTATTCTGTATTTTCATGATGGAAATTAGATCACTGACTATGTAGTTGAACAAAATTTGAAATTTGTATCATAATAAGTTGACAATTATTTAAGGTGTTTGAGAGTGTTTTTGTATGTATGGATATGAGACTTATTAGGAAAATTCAGTTGCTTTGCTGAGACATTCTTCAAGTTGATTTTTTGCATGTTTACCGTCAATGGAACTGCGAGTTATTTAAGCTGTTTAAAACATGAAAATCATAAGCAGGTAGAGGATAGGGTTTTGTCTCTTGATATGGCTTTTATCATCTTCATGGATGAGTTTATTGCTCAAATTCAACCTTTCCAATCCTCAGTAGTTTCAGGATAGGTGACTTCAAATAATAGTGCAGGTTAAAATCTCTTTCGGTGAGCTAAGTATCATAACTTGCAGATACTCAACTTCCATTTCAGGTGCATTGCAAGTTCCATTGGCTCCATTCCAATGGGGGAAAGCCAACAAAAGGTGTGTATTGTTTTGTTGTTTTATGCCATTCATTTGTCATTTGCTTGTAACTGCTAAATACTTATTCTACATGTTCATATATGCTGTTTTTTCAACAATTTTCAAAATATGTTCGGTTATTTGTGAGATACTGATGCAACATGTGAAAATAACTTATCTTTCACCGGCGGTGTCGGAGCCGTTATCCAATTCTGTTTTGGGCAAACATGTCGGCGATCAAATCAGATCCGGTTCAGCACTTGCCCACTTCGGTTCAGCACCTGTGACATTCGGTACAGCCACTGCGCACTTCGGTGCCGCACCTGTTACATTCGGTACAACTACTGCGCAATTTGGTTCAGCAGTTGCATAATCCGGATCAGCCCCTTTGCAATTCGGTTTAGCAATAACAAAGGCAATTAGAAAAACCATAAATATATTGTGACTAATTAACTTTGGAAAAAACAGTTTGCGGAGGCTTGTTGCATGCACTAAAAATCACAGATGAAACAATTTTTGAAGGATACAATTGTGAATTGAATTGAGTAGGAAGAAAGTAGTATTAGATGATTTAATTGCAAAAAACTAAATAATTTTGCATTTAAAATTGATAGAAGTAAGTTATTTTGGAACAATTTTTTCCTGGCGGAGCTTCTCTAATTGAGCTTCTTAGACATAGAGCAAGACTTCCGCATCCCATCATAGATTATAGCTGGTTCTGGTCGACCATAGACTTGCATCACAAATAAGTTATATTCCTCTGGGAGTCCTTCGAGGATTGCATAGATCTGATCTTGTTCAGAGATGTAGTCTTCTACAGCGAGTAGAGAATCTGCAATCTCTTTGATATGCAAAACAAATTCAAATGTACATTTGTTGAGTTTCTTCGAAGTTTTGAGTTATCTCCGAAATCAGTATTACGTACACTCAATTGTAAAAGCCTTGGTTCATCAGATTCATATACATCAAATGGAAGTTTATCTCCAAGATCTTCAATTAGTTGTGTTTGTACCAGTGTTTTCACACCTGTTGAATTCAAAACACAATCAGAGAAAGAACATGTGCTAGATGATGATTCATGTTGAATTCAAAACACAATCAGAGAAAGAACCTGCGCTAGATGATGATTCATTTCCTGATGAGAAAGCTTTTATGATAACTAACTTCCTAATCCATTTCATCTTATTAAGAACAATATCTTGATAAAAGTATACATGATTTATGTATTTATTTTTCATTTGGTCTTATCACTACAAACCTGAGATTCTTCCCAATGAAAGTGTTTCTACAAAAGAAAGCATATCAAATGGGTCTATCAAGGTATTTGAGGTGATTGCTTAAAGTTCTACATTGAATTTGGAAGTAAAAAATTCGAAGAAAGATAGCTACAGCTCTGTTGTAGATCTAATACTCATCACTAATAGGTTTCATCATATTTTCACTAAAAAGACTTGGAGCAAGGTTTTTGCGGTGACAAGGAGGAATACATTCCAGGAAAGTTTGAACAATACTTAGTAGCATGCAAGCCAACGTTGCCGAAATCTTGGTTGAACTCACAAAAATTGCTCGACAAGTCAGAGAAACAATTAAACAATACTTAGTAGCATGCAAGCCAACGTTGTCGAAATCTTGGTTGAACTCACAAAAATTGCCCGACAAGTCAGAGAAACAAGTGCAAAACATTTCTTCTACTAGTGATTACATAAGGAGGTGCAAAACATTTCTTCTACTAGTGATTACATAAGGAGGTGCAAAACATTTCTTCTACTAGTGATTACATAAGGAGGATGTTGTAACGTACTATCATGTATTTGTCAACCCATTATAGTTAAACTATTGCTAGATCTTTTTGTACTAATTTTTTTAAACTATTAGCATGACATACAACCACAATAAACAAATCACAAAATAGTTGATTTCAACAAGCTCCAAAACTTCTTTAAGTTTAACGCTTATAACATGTAAACTTAACGCTTATAACAAGTCGGTCCTTAAAAAAATAACTTACATTTTAGATACATTAAAAATATCAATATGTATATGAATTATATATGAATCATATACATTAATTATTTAATGTATCCAAAACCCTCTCCACTCCACCATAAACTTGAAGATCATCCAGAGTAGGAATACTATCAAAAAGTTTCTTGAGCATTTTCTTATGCAATTCATCAAATTTGTTAATGACAATGAAAAATGTTGAGGAAAACATCTTAGTTACACATAAAGAACATGGATAACACATATGAACTCAAGAAATAATACATGCCAAAAATGACATGTATAAGAGCATAATAGAAAAAAAAAAGTAGGAAAAGTAAAGAGTAACAGATTGTATTCCAAGGAAGTAAGGTGATCTAGAGGATATGAAGTTTTGGAGCTTGTTAAAATCAACTATTTTGTGATTTGTACATTGTGGTTGTATGTCATGCTAATAGTTTAAAAAAATTAATTAGTACAAAAACATCCAACAATAGTTTAACTAGAATGAGTTGACAAATATGTTAGAACATCCTCCTTATGTAATCACTTGTAGAAGAAATATTTTGCACTTGTTTCTCTGACTTGTCGAGCAATTTTTGTGAATTCAACCAAAATTTCAGCAACGTTGGCTTGCATGCTACTAAGTATTGTTCAAACTTTCTTGGAATGTATTCCTCCTTGTCACCGCAAAAACCCTGCTCCAAGTCTTCGTAATAAACCGCTTGATTAAGCCTATTAGTGATGATTATTGGATCTACACCAGAGTTGAAGCTATCTTTCTTCGAATTTTTGACTTTCAAATTCATCGTAGAACTATGACTTGAGTAAGAAATCACCTCAAATACCTTGATAGACCCATTTGATATGCTTTATTTTGTAGAAACATTTTCGTTTGGAAGAATCTTAGGTTTCTAGTGATAAGACCAAATGAAAAATAAATACATAAATCATGTATACTTTTATCAAGATATTGTTCTTAATAAGATGAATTGAAATAGGAGGTTAGTTATCATAAAAGCTTTCTCATCAGGAGATGAATCATCATCTAGCCAAAGTTTTTCCTCAAATTGTGTTTTGAATTCAGCCGGTGTGAAACATGGTAACTATTGAGTCCCGTATGTACGCTGAATTAGTGTGGTTCACCGATTCAGGCTTCTCACATCACCTCAATTATTTTGCTTCATGCATACAATATAAGTCATTGTATGTATGTAGTAATAGAGTTCAAATTGTGAATGGTTAAAGTTTATCTATTCAGTCTGTTGGCTCCTCTTAGTTTGTGCCTCAGAACTCTCCTCATACATCACTTGTTCTTAAGAAAATTTTACAAGTGCCTGAAATTACTTGTAATTTGAAGTCCGTGTCCAAATTTGTAAAGGATAACTATGTCATGTTTGAATTTTGTGCTAACAAATGCTTTGTGAAATCTCAGGTTTTCATCAAGTTGTTCTTGAAAGATACCTTGTTTAGAATGGATTGTATTGCTTCCCTCACATTCGCTTGCTTCAACCACAAGCTTATGGAATTGTTCCTCTTCCTTTAAATAATTATGCATCTAGTCCTAGATCTTCTACTGATGCGTGTCACAGAATAGATCTAGCCGATTGTACCTCTTATGATGCTCTTTCCTTATGACATTATAAACTAAGGCATGTTAACTTTCCTACTGTGAGACATGTACTTTCCTTGTGTGTTAAAGTGCATAATAAAGTTACACCTCAAATTTGTAGCTCTTGTTACTTAGGTAAAGCTCACATACTTCATGCTCCCCCATTCACTCACTGTGTATGAATCCCTTTTTGATCTCGTTTACAATGAGCTTTGAGGCCATTCTCCCTTTGTATCCAATAGTGGCTTTCATTACTAGATTAGTTTTGCTGATGCCTGTACCAAATTCACATGGATTTATCTGCTTAAACATATATATGATGCTCTTACCGCTTTTAAGGTATTTCATGCATATGTCGAGGCTTAGTTTTAGGGTCATATCAAAGGGCTTTAATTAGACTTTGGTGGAGAATAAAAACCCTTTACCAAGATTCTCAATGAACTGGGCATTGTTCACAAGCTCACCTGTCCTCACACATCCCATCAAAATGGGTCTGTTGAGACACAAGAAAATTGTTGAAATAGGTCTCTCACTATTATCCCTAGGGGTGGACACCACCCGCACATCCGGCCCAACCCGGTGAAATCCGGAAGATAAAAAAGAATTTGGGCGGGTTGGATAGGCCCAACGGGTTAAGCGGATTACTAACCCGGGTTAAAAGGGGTTCAAAAGGGCGGGCCGGGTACCAAAAACGGACCCACGGGTACCCAGACCCGCCCATCAACTAAACACGTACATTTTTTCTATATATATTCTCTTTGGAGTTTATTTTCTTGCAATTAAACTAAAAATGTTTTTCATTTTTGGTGTCTAATTCAGGCCGAGAAAGCTGTTGCTGCATCACTTGCT